GGGGGGGGGGGGGGGGGGGGGGGGGGGTGGACTGAACGGCCGGCATGATCGAGAAATCTACAGAGGTAACTGATTTTTTTCTTTGGATACAGCAGTGTAGATTGGACGAACACACACACAAACACATCTTCCATCGACCCAGCAGGTTGTACCCGAGTTGAATCGACACTCCGGATTCTGAAGCTTGTGAGCATGAAAACCTGTGAGAGTTGGGGAAGAATTGAGATTTGACAAACATTTCCCCAAGTCTACCTGTGCCTTTCCGAAAACTCCTGTGGGATTTGAGGTCTGGTGTGAGGTGACTACAGCAGTACATACAACCCCAGCTGATGCCCCCAGAAAAAAAAATGCTGAGAATTGCCGTCCACTTCCCTGCAGTGGACAAAGAGACACATGCGTATCCCGCTACTTGTTTGCATACGACTGACGCCTTTTCATCGGTCAGCCGGTTACCGCCGTCAGCGCTTGTTCAAGATACACAGCTGTGAGTATTTTTGAAGACTAACTAAATAGCATGTGCCTGCACTGGGGAGTGTGTGAGGAAAAGTACTTCTTCTACATACAGGTACCCAGAACGGTGTTATTGGTTCACCCCACCAAACGCGCCCTGGGCTGGCAGCAGCAGGTTCTTGATTGTTGGGCCGCCGACCGCGTGGTAGAGGTACACTGTAGGTGCAAAGTAATCCCTTCTACATGTTCTGATGACCGCATCGCTACCCCTCCTCCACCTCTCTGCAAACTTTTGTGCGGCAGGCTCGAGCAGCACAGTATGGAAGGTGGTGGACATCGAGACCCTCCGAGTAGTGGCCGTCAAGGAGATGATCGTGTGCGACTCGAAGCAGGGCACCATTCTGCGCCACGAACTCAGCGTTCTCCACCCGCAGCTGCAGCCCCTGGTCCCGCCCAAACCGAAGCGGCTGTCGGGGCGAAGGAGCAGGGCCTCAGCGGCACCCATCAGTGGCGCCGGCGCCGGCGACGCCGCCTCCTCCGGCACGAACACCCCGACAATCGCCGCCGCCGCCGCCGTCGCCTCTACCTCGGCAAGAAGAAGCGGGAAAAAGTCGTTGGGCGGTGGCAAGAGCGTCGCCGCCGCCTCTACCTCGGCGCCGGTCGTCCGGCCGGGGCCATGCCCGTACATGCCGCGCTACTACGGCTCCTTCGTCTCGCACGACGACGGGGGGCGGCCACGCGTGAGCATCGTAATGGAGTACGTCTCGGGGGTGGACCTAGCGCGATGGATAGAGGAGGTGGGCGGCAGCAGCGGCGATGGCGAGGGGCGAAGAGAAGGAGGAGGAGGAGGAGGAGCTCTAGCAGACCCTGCCGGACAGCCTCCAGAGGCGAGGAAGCCGCCGCCACCGCCTCGCCCGCCGATCCCAGAGTTGTGGCTGTCGCGAGTTTGCCGCGACATTCTCGAGGCCCTTCGGTACCTGCACGAGCGTGGCTTCATCCACAGGGACGTAAAGCCCGCGAACGTCTTGCTGGGGCCGGGGGGCGCGCGTCTGGTGGACTTCGGGAGCACGATCGACGGCCGCGAGGACGAATGCGGGGGCCGGATGCACGGGACGGTGCGCTTCATGAGCCCCGAGCGACTGTGCGCGCGGCCGTACTGGCCGAGCTCGGACCTGTGGGCGGCCGGGCTTACGGTGGCCTCGGCGGCGCTGGGGGAGAACCCGGTGCCGCACAGCGCGACCAAGTTCGAGGCAGCGGGGCACGCGGAGGTGGCGTTCGAGATGGTCAGGAGCCACCCCGCGTCGGCCGGGCTCTCGCCGAGCCTGCTGGACTTCTTGAGGGCGGTGCTGGTGGCGGATCCCGAGAGAAGACCGACGGTGGAGCAGATGCTCGCGCACCCGTTCGTTAGACCCGTGCCTCCCGGTAGTGCTATTGTTGGTTGTGCCGGTGCTGGTGCTGGTGCTGGTGCTGGTGCTGGTGCTGGTGCTGGTGCTGGTGGTGTGCTTGGTGTGCTTCGGCGAGGGGGGGGGGTGTTGGGCATGGGCGGCCGCAACAAGAGAGAGGACGAGCGGGCGAGGAACTCGGCGGCGGCGGCGGCGGCCCTGAAGAACAAGGAGAAACACCACCACCACCACCACCAGCAGCAGCAGCAGCAGCAGCGGGGAGGAGGCGGGGTAGAGCAGCAGCGGCGACCGACTAGTGGCACGTTCAGTAGCATCAGTGGTGGCGGCGGTAGCGATGACCCGCTAGAGGCGGCCTGGAGCGAAGGCGTTTTGGAAACCTTGCGCCGCCTCGCTCTCGAGTCGCCTTCTTCCGAGGTCGACGCGTCCGATCTCATCCGGAGAATCCTCGCGGCCCGCCGCTTCATGTACCCGGCGGGCTACGCGTCCGGCCTCAAGCACCTCGACTTCTCGCACCTCGCCGCGGAGCTAAACTTCTCGAGCGCCGAGCTGCGGTCGCTCTTCGGCAGCGCCGTGATGAACATGGAAGGCGCCAGCTCGGGGGCGTCGTCGTCTTGGAGTTCGCCCGTGCCGTCTGCAGCGACGAGATCGCCGGTGCCTGCGACGCTACCTCCGCTCGGGGCCGACGATGATGGCGGCGAGGGCGGCGCGGAGGCGAAGGAGGCGCCCCCTTCGCCCCTCCGCTCCCCGCCGCTGAGGTCGCCGCCGCCGCGCTGGCGTCCGCCGCCGCTGATCATGTCCCCCGGCGCGCGGACGCCCAGGCCGGTGTCTGCGGTGTCGGCGTCGGCGCTCTCGGTGCTGTCCGGCATGGCAGCGCATTCCCCCGCGACGATGACGCCGCTGCTGCCACCACCGGAGGCGGCAGGAACGGAGCCGACGTCGACATCGGCATCGGCATCGGCAACAGCGGTGACGGACGACGTGCGCGCGATGGCGGGGAGGAAGGAGACTCCGGTGTTGGTGATTGTCGGGGGGAGCGGCGACAACGATCAGCGAGGCAGCAGTGGCGCCGCCGGCGGGGTGGGTGGGTGGTGGAAGGGCTGGGGCCAGCGGAGACGGTTGTTGCGCCCCCGCGCCTCCAAGGCGGACAAGGGCGGGGGCGGGGGCGGGGGCGGGGGCGGCTTTGGGGGCGTGGAGGACCGGTCGCTGCCGAGGTCGTCTTGCCCTGGCGCGGCGTTGACGTCGCACAATCCGCCGCTGACGGTAACCCCGCCTCTGTCGAAGTTCGACGAAGAGGCGGACGGCAACGCCGGCGGCGGCAGCAGAAGTGCAAGCGGAAGCAGAAGCGGTGGCGGCGGTGGCGACCTCGCTGTGGTGAGCGAGCCGGAAGGCTGCTTGGTGGCCGAGGACGACCCGTTGCGAAGACCGTCGGGAGCGGTCAGGACGGTGGCGGCGGGGATAGCGGGAGGCACGGCTTCGGCCGAAGCAGCGGCGGCAGCGGCAGCGGCGGCAGAGGCGGCGGCGGCGGAGGCGGTGCGAGAGAGAACGGGCGTCTGCGGCGGGCCCGCCCCAGCGTGGGATTCGGAAAGATGGTGACGTGAAAAAGGGCCGATGGCGTCTCTCGGGTGCACCAAACCGTACCGCCATGACCTTCGTGCCCACGATTGAAAGTTGAACCCCCCCCCCCCCCCCCCCCCCCCCCCCCCCCCCCCCCCCCCCCCCCCCCCCCCCCNCCGGTGGACAAGCGAGCGCTTTCTTCACTCTTCGTGTGTGCGTTTTTACGGAGGAAAGGAGGCGGTCATCACCGCGTGGATGTGGCGAACATTGTATTGGTTTTAGGCGAGAGAGCGAGGCGTTTGTGTTTGTTTTGTGTTTGTTTTGTGTTTGTTGGGGGGCGGGGGGGGGGGGGGG